CTTTGGAAGACCCGCTACGAACCCTACCTTTAAGCAAATTTCCTGATAAAAACTGTTAATGTTCAACTTAAGTTAACACCCTCAAGTGGGCTTTTTCTTTTTCTTCTTCTTCTTTTCCCTTTCTTGCAAATGATAGGGGGGGGGGCGACTGCCCCCCTTGCCCCCCTTCTGGCTCCGCCCCTGCACGTCTTGTGCTTCCTTTACAATATACAAGTTCCTAATTGGTACCTGCTAACCTAGCATGACCAGACTGAGAAACTGACGTCAGTATACACTTTCTTTCGATGTATCATGTATGACCATTTTTTGGAGCTTGTACTCTGTCCAAACAACGACCTGTCTTACAAATGTGTGAACGTTGCATTCTCCCGTAGGTTTCCCTGGTGTTCTAGTTAGTCATTACCTTGTTTACCCGACTGTGGAAAGATCCTTTATATGTAATGACCCAGGCCCGTAGCCAGCTTTATATTGGGGGGATTCGTTTTTGAATGTTGGAAATTTGTGAGGGCGTGAAGCGACCGAGCGAGGGAGCATATAGCGACAGAGCGGGGGGAGGGTGTGGGATTGAGATTTTGCAATTATTACACTAAAATGGAGCGATCTGGTGCATACCTGAGGTGAAATTCTTGCAAATTTTCAAATGGAAAACTAGTTAAGTGTACTTATATTTACTATATATTTAAGTGTCAGTGTGCAGTGGGAGCAATGGCGGCCGCCAGTGTTTGTTGCACATGAGCATTTGGACATTTACAGGAAAGTGTCGGCAATAATAGGTGAAAGAAAGTATAGAAACATTAAGACTTTGGTAGTAAATAAATTTCGTATTTATTTAGCATTATATTATATTGAAACGCTCCAAGTGCCTGTGCTCCTACTCCGTGTACGGAATCTGTGATCAAATTGATCATGACAGTTTGGATCCCCGCAATGTGGGCATATGTACGTGTTTTCGCATGCGTGCTAAACTAGGATTGGGCAGAGAATTTGTATCTACTGACAATGTAGTATGTACTGTGGCTGTGGTAACGATAGCTGTACATAGAACTATAGCCCTTGGCTCCGCCACAGGTGGAGCCACAGGACATCCACCTGTGGCGGAGCGAAGGGCTATAGCCTGCTGCCTGCTAGTAGAGCCTGGAGAGCATTCTTCTGCTACTACTTAGTAATACTAGTATTATACTAGTAGTGTTGAGAGGGTCTAGGTCCCCCAGGGTACTGCCGGAACGTACCCCGGGTACGGTCCGGTATACCGGAACGGTATACCCTGGTACTAATACTACTATCTAATATGCTGGACCGTACCCGAGCGCCTACTCCACTAACGACTCACGAGTCTATAGGGAGTCGCCTCCCCTACTCCCTAACCCTAACCGTATCAGATAGTTAATTACCAGGGTACGTTCCGGCAGTAGGCTGGCCTGGGGGTAGTCCGAGCCGACGCAGACCCCAGTAATGGATAAACCCACACCCTCTGATTAGCAAAGCGAAGTTATAACGTCTGCATGTGCGGACCAAGCCTGGGGGACATAGACCCTATGGCTATGACTATGACTGAGAGTGAGAGTCATGCTATATATACTATACTAGTACTACTGACAGTACTGTGAGGGGGAACGGGTATTTTTCGGGACGCGGGATTGGCCATTTAAATTTTATTTACCTGGGAACTGGGAAATGTCGGATAAATTTTCCGTGATTCGGGAACAGAAGTCCATCAGGACGTAGGAAAGACCCTCTCAAATTGCCTGGGATCTGGGAAAATTGTGTCAATTCGTCGGGATTTCAATTTCTGAGCTAATATTTATTTATTTTTATTTTATTTTTTTATTTTATTTATTCTGCACTAATTAGATTCATGTAGACCCCAGATAAATAATAGTATGTAAATATTAGTATTTATGTAATGTTTGAAAACCTAAACTACTGAATTTCCAGAAACATGTCTACATAATTTCCTGGGAACTGGGAACTGGGACTTTATTTTACTGGGAACTGGGAACTGGGAGTGTTTTTTGCTGAGAAAGTGGGAATGTACCCCCCCCCCCCCCCTCTACTGTCATAGTCATACAGTCAGTGGCGCTGTAGTTTAGTGTCACAGCGGACGTTAGACACTCGCTTTCTAATTTACAGTCCGTTGGATTATAATGAATATTCGTAATATAATAAGGTTGTTAGAACTTAGAGTTAGATACGATATTTACTGATTTGGCTTGATACATACGTGTTACCAAGAGTGTTACTATGAACGCTCACCACACGTGACGATGGCCAATTTGGCCAACAGATGTCGCAACTATAGCAGCAAATGGCAGCGGCCACCGACCGTCTTTACACACACAAGTTTTCATAATGATTCTCAGACGTTGTTCCCTGTTATCCACAGGTCTACGGATATCGCATAAGTATTTGCTAGTAAGTATAGATAATCGGTCTGTTATATTCACAGAGATCCTGCTAGGCAGCACAACGGCAGCGAGACACTCAGACAGTGCCAGTCACTAGACATGACTACGGGTACACTACACAGAGTAGACCAAT